AGATTCTTTGAGCAAACTCAAACACTATTTTAGCCTGACCTGTCCTTAACCTCTTTCTGTTGTCTGTGTTTATGCTGTACTACACACTGTGCTTTACAGAACTACAAAAAAACACCCACCATGTTTATATCTTGATTTTTATTATTACTTTAGACTTTTTAACATATCAGAGAAGACTAAGTTATGTTCAAAATTACTTTTAATTAAGCTTTTTAACAACTCCTGGATATGGGTCCTATATGGTCGTTTTACTGCAACGCAAGTCCTTAAACCAGCTTCAAACTAAGATGTTTTTGCTATTGTTATAAAATATTAATAGTTTTTTATTTACTAATTGTCCTTACAAATATTTTACCTAATGTACATTAGTCTGGAACTTTTTTGTTTAAAATCTATGCCAAGTGAAGATTTTTTTATCCCTTAATCCATGTTTTTCACATTCAAATTATAGTAATGAAAGTAATGACTCAAAACATTACATCACTTATTGCTGCCAGACATCTTTAGCGCTTGCTGTGGGTCTTGAGAGAATAATGCAAGCACAGAGGCAACTATGAAAGGTTGGTTGACTTCAACGACTACATTAATGACAACATTAAAATGTTACTGTTAATTGTTAAAATAAGGCTACCTTTAATAAACATTTTACATTTTAACATATAGGATACATACACCTTCGTTATCAGTTGTAACATGTCATGTTTTCAAATATAAAGGCTACTCAATAACAATAAAACTTATGCTGTTATGAACATGTCAGGAGATCAAGCACCAGTTGTGTTTGCTACACACCAAGAAACAGCGGATGGCAATAGACAACAAACTGAAAACGCGCGGTTTTCACGCAGCCTGGAAAGATTTCCGATGCGGGTTCTCACTGAATTTACTACAAGTCTCAACAACTGTGCATAGCACTACCAAAACGACTAAGACAACAGGTCACCAAAATTTCCTCTCACACATATAACCGTGGTTGTGAGGGGAATGTATCCCTGGTTGCCGCTTTGAAAAGGCAGCGGATCGTAGCCATTACTCGGTCAGAGCAGAGCCAGTACGCAGGATATGAATGGGGACACTGGAAGCGGCTTGCTACATGCTAGCTGTGTTTTTAAAGAGCTTTGCATGCACATTTTGCCGATTCGTTACAATACACAGTATTTAACAGCTACGCGACTGACTTAAAACTCTAATCTAATAAAACGTTAGATTTTTAAAAACACCATTACACCTCTACTTCCAGCATTTGAATGCATCTGGGTTACATTTCGTTAGCCTAGCTGGCTAGCCTGCTAAGCCAACCAGCTATCAACAATATTCAGACGTACAGCTAGCTTGAGCCTTTGACATTCAAAACAAACCACGGAGGGGCACAATTTTAACACTCATACTGTACAGCGGCACTTTGATCTAACCGAGACAACGCAGTATTGTTTACTTAGAAGAGTAAACGCAATTGCGTAGCGAGCTATCTATCTCTCCTTGCAAGCAAAATATGAGTTAATGTTGGAATACTCTTGGATGAGGGGGGTATGCTTGGGAATTCGGTGGAAAATGACTATGTTTGCCGGGCCGTGCAGCAGTGTGGCGTTTCGATTTCGGTAGCCGTGCAGTTCGCGTCTTCGCTGCAGAACACGAATATTGCAGCTTTGTTACAGTTTTTCGGATTAATACAGAAAATGCTACATTGTAACAAACTCACCCGAGACGATAGAGGTGCAGGCAGCGCGGGGTCTCCAGGACAGCCTCGCACGGGCTGCTGTAAAGGACCCAACTAGAGGCAGGAAACAGGAGACTTCCGTTTTGCCTGATTGAAATATGAGCCTCGTACCCTACTGCGTTTATCGCTTGTGGTTTCTTGGAGGTTGAAGTTTAAGAATCAAACAAGGAAGCTCTAATGTGGACAAACCAGTCCCCTCTCTTAAAACCATTAATAAAGGGAAGGGTTGGTAACCAGAGCCTTCTCTATTAATGTATAGGCTGTATCTACCCCATACAAAGAGTTTTCTACTCGTTTTGGTTTATTGCTTTGTATTTTTATTTTATTGTTTTGTCCTGAGTTTGATCTGTCTTTATATTCTCGTTTAATGCCTTGTGTATCATTTTCTTGTGTTGTGCTTCAGTTCAAGCACCTCTACTATGGAGCCAGGTTCCAATTTGGGTTCATGAATCAGACAACGTCCCCCCTTGTAAGGCAAGACTTTTCTGTTTGATAAAACTTTTAGTTAGGGCAGGATTTGGCAAAACTTACATCATCATTAAATAATATTTAATATTTTTATTTTGTTGGTTTTATTGTGATTGTGCTTTATCATGTGTTTTTATAATGTGCCTTCTGAATTTTACTGTGTATTTTATCATGCTCCTTTTGTATTTTTTTTCCAGTTTCTTGGGATGATGCCATTTGATGATGTTGCCTTTTAAATGAAACTTGATTGATCAGGTCTTACTTGGCGCGTCCCTAATCACTATAAAAAAAAAATTTCAAGACAATTATTATCGGAGAGGAGTCTTGTGCACAAACTGAAAACGTTTCAAAATAGCTATGGAGACAAACATGTACATGTGGCTTTCTCAAACATCAACACAATTTCCAGTTTGGGACATTTGGGGAATTTCCATCATCTATCAAGCTAATGCCATGCTGAAAACCATCCAAAGTATTTGCTGGGATCTGGAACAACATAATCTGGCCATATAGGGAGATTTTTAGACAGTAGGTTATGACTTGTATGATTGTGCGTATCCTCTATAACCTCTATAGTGATGATATGTTTTAGGAGCTTTAGAAGCCTACCCTATGGCAGATGTTTACTGACTAAATGCAAGTCATCTTAAATGCTTAGTGAGGTTTGAGTGCTGATTTATAGTTTATTTTGCCTCAGTGTGAGTGATGTTATATTTTTATACACAATTAACAATAATGTTATAGTCAAAAATTAAAATGACATTTGCTAGATTGTTTAAGCAAAGCTCTGTGTAATATCATTATTACACTGTTTTTGCCTGAATTGTCTGAATTGCCTTAACTGAGGAAATAAACTTATTTGGGTTGCTGTGCTGTGCTAGACAGAACTACAAACATGCACTCAAAATCTTAATATATTGCTTGCTCAGATTGTAACTCTTTTCAACGTAACACAGAGTTAAGTTATGTTTAAATAACTTTTAATTAAGCTTCTTAACTACTCCTGGATATTGGGTAGGCTACACGGTTTGTTAACTGCAACGCTTTAAGTCTTTAGCAGCTTCAAACTATGTAATAACTTTTATTTACTACTCATCCTTACAAATTCCACCACAGACCAAATATGACTCAGAACATTATTGCTGACATTCATTTCTGGACCTTGCTGTGGGTCTTGTTGTGAGAACACAGCAAGCACAGAGGCAGCTATGAAAGGTTGCTTGACTTCAACAACTACATAAACAATTATGATTTAAATATATGGCTTCTTTAAATAAACATTTTACAGTTGACATTTTAACACGTATAGCCGTCTTTGTTATCAGTTGTAACATTTACTGACTAAATTCAAGGCTTACATAGGTACGATCACGATTTCTGTTCTCTTTCAGAGCAGGACAATATCTGTGCGTCTCAGATGGCTCAGTGACAGCCTATTGCGAGCCTTATATTTAAGAAATAGGGAATAGGTAAGTATAGTAAGTCTCAGAAAGTGTATGTTTAAGTATATGTAACAGCCTGCAGGGGAAATGTTGACAGGGACAGATGTATGGGCTACATTTCATTCTCTTTTTTATTTAACTTCTTTACATATTTTGTGCATAAAACCTACAGTATCATACACTGAATTATAAAGAGATCAGAGACAATTACATCAAAATACCAAATAATTTATTTGCAGCAGAGTAAATAAGAATCCTTAGAGAAAATAAAGACCTCTTACTCTACTTCTACAACTTTCTTTACATAATTTACTTATATGAATAATCATTAGCCTACATGAAATATAGCCTTTAGCTTAACAAGACAAATAAATGCACAGCAAGAAGGATTATTTGAACTTCTGTGTCAACTTTGTCTGTGCTCTCTGGGTGTATCAGCTCCAGTTTCCTTCCACAGGCCAAAGGCATGCAGGGTTAGGTTAATAGGCTAATGATTGTCTAACCGGTCAGGGATGGGCTCCAGCACCTCGCAACCTTTAAGGGTGGTACATCAAACGGATGCATGTAGGTCTGGTTAGATGTTCATTAGAGGGGATATTTTTGTGGTTCATTCAGATGTGGCATTTATGCATTGCTTCATAAATTAGATAATCAAGTAAAAGCAGCAGCTCACAACAAAACCAGCATCATTATTTTGTAGATACATTTATCACACAGTGCCTTCAAGTGTTAAGAAATAAAACAAACAAATGATATAGGCCTAACAGAGAAGTTGTTGTTTGACAGTATAATAAATGAATGGTGTTTATCATCGTAATTTACACCATAGTGTGGATAACATTTGGCTGTTATATCACAGTTAGGTAGTTAATTAAACCCCAATCAGTTTTCAACATTTAGGTCGTTTGGTGTCCGAACCACTTCTGATTCGACAGCATCAAAAGAAATGCTCATGTGACTGACACTCTGATAGGGGGAAAAGAAAAAAACAACAAACATTTATCAGTAGGTAGGCTACAATGTAATTATTGTCTATGTAAATGAAAGAAAGAGTCCTATAATAAACAATCCAACCAAAAACAAATAGTCAAAAAGGGGGTCAAAAAGGGGGTCCTAATGGAGCAAAAAGGCCACAGAAGAGAAAACAAGAAAACCTCATTTAGGCGCGGCATACAGGGGGAAATTTGTTAAAACAGCAATTGCCTGGCTATATCTAAACATGTCTTTCTTTCAAGTGTACTAGACTTCACCATTTTTCTCTCTCTAATGTCTATATTGAGGTGGATGTTATGCTTGGGGAAGACGGATGTTGGAGCTTACGAAGAGTACCTGAACGCAGCAGTAGTGGTTCCCCTGCTCCGGTGTCACGTGACAAAGGTGCTGTGACAAGACAAACCAACCAAAATCGCTGCTTCGCTGTTAGCACTGGTTAGCAAGTTTGTTGACTTTCGCATTTCTTCGTTTCTCCTGAAAAATCGGACCAGTGACACGAAAAATGGACAACAGTGGCAAAGAAAAGGAAGCAATGGCTTTGGTGGCCGAGGCTGAAAAGAAAATGAAGTCGTCGCAGTCGTTTTTCGGGGCGCTGTTTGGGTGAGTATGTCAGCTAGCTACTATTAAGCTAATTTTGTCAAGCTACGGGCCAAATAAGCGGAAGGTAACGTTAGCTAGTTGACCAGTAACCACCATATCTTAAGGCAGGATAAAAGTCAATTCTTGATTTTATTCCTCACTGATTCACTGTATCTAGGTTTACCTTAAGTTATTATGGTTAACGATGTTAACTCAGCTATTTATGTAGCTGTATCTCCCTTCAGGTCACTGCTGATCACGTATCTGAGAATAATTAACGGTAACGTCTAAAATATAGCTGTGTGCAGCAGTAAACGAGGCTGAAGTACACAATGCCAATTTCTGCAATGTCTGTTTAAGGATTTCTTTATTATATCAGGTGCTGACGATGTTGTAATCTACGATAAAGTCGTTAAACATTTCAAGTGATTCACACCTAACAATGCAAGGATAGTGAATATTAGCCTCGGTGTTGCAGCTGTAGCGCGACCTACTGGGGGAAATGTACAAGGTCACTCAGTTGGTAGGTGCAAATCACATGTCGAGCACATTGTTTAATCATAATAGCACAATGGATCGGGTTAGATGATAAGTAAAATAAACCCCCATCAATCAGTACAGCTAAGAAGTGGGTATCTGACCCAGAAATGTACATACATGCCCAGAGCAACCATATGAGTATGAAATGCAGTAGGAGTTTATGTCAGATTCTGGTAAAGCTTGAAGATGCAAGTGTCCATATAATTGGATTTGGTAATATGATTATTATTATTATTATTATTATTATTATCATGGTATTAGTAAACCTATTTTCTGAAATCAGTATATTCAGCACAATATGGCTCATTCATTAAGTAGAACTTGGTGTTGCAATCCCTGAAGATTCAACACTTTAGCAGCATGATGTCGGTGCTGGATATGACCACTAGGTGGAGCCACCTTTGCGATACATGATCAGTTGTGAACCTCTACCGTCATTGGGTGTTACAGCCTATTATGACAAGAAACCTGTGTTAAATACATTTTATTTTAAAAAACATAAAAAATAAATGATACCCTCAAGCAAAAGTCTGTATAAGGCTTGTTTAACTAAACAAATTTGCTGTCACACAGGAGTTCTTCAAAAATGGAAGAGGCCTGTGACTTGTATGTGAGGGCAGCCAACATGTACAAAATGGCCAAAAATTGGTGTGGTAAGAATAATAACTACAGGTTGAATAAACAAGTTTAATGATTGCCAAAAAGACTTTTAATTCTTTAACATGCAACATTTTGTTTTCAGCTGCAGGAAATGCATTTTCCCAAGCTGCTCGCCTTCACCTCCAGATGCAGAGCAAACACGATGCAGCAACTAACTTCATAGATGCTGGAAATGCCTTCAAAAAAGCAGATCCACAGGGTAATCTGGTTGCTTCTAATCTTTGTTGGTCTTGGAAAGTTTATTGTTCTTTTGATGTGAATTCACTTTAAATACTTACATTGAAGTGGCCTTAGAACATGTCATGTTGGGCTAGGCAACATGGCCAAAAATGTTATCACAAAATAGAACATTTCATATTATTCGATATTGATAATTATGATAAATGTCAAATCATTATTTCTTAAGTAAGTATTTCTTAATAAGTTCAAAGGCTCATTTTTGCCCATGAATGAACTTAAACTATACTTTATGGTTAGAACGTGACAAACTCTTGATGCCAAATAGTAGATCACCTCACGTATCTGAGATAGAATATTTAAAACAATTATGATAAAATCTTTTTTTTTAAATATATAATTAGTAAATCTTTTTTCAGTCCCTTTTCCTCAACAAAATAAACATCTTAATAGAAAAATCAATTGCTAATTCGTTCGTGATTCTAATGAATTAAATATTTATTGACGATATATTGAACATTTGTCATATTGTTATTGAGGAAGATTATATTGCTATAATTATCAGTATTGTTTTATTTCCCAGCCCTAATGTCTAATTGTTTTTGTCAACAGAGGCCATAAACTGCCTAAACCGAGCTATTGAGATATACACTGATATGGTGAGTTTATGGACAGGGAACACTTTTTAGTTCCTTTTTTTGTTTTGCATCTGATTTACTTATGTGACACTGTTTTGTTTGTTGTTGTTGTTTTGTAGGGGCGCTTCACCATTGCAGCCAAACATCACATCACCATTGCTGAAATATATGAGACAGAGCTGGTGGACATTGACAAGGTCAGGTGAAAGATCTGTGTTTCATGTTTATTATGTTATCCCACGGCAGATTCTTACATAAGAAAACTTTATTTACGCCTTATGTCCAATTTCCATTCCAGGCCATTGCTCATTATGAACAGGCAGCAGATTATTACAAAGGTGAAGAATCCACCAGGTAACTTATATTTTTATATTATCAGGATTTTCTCTTGTTTGCTTTTGGTGTGGGATGTTTTAAGGGCTTGTTTGTTTTTTGGGGGGCTGTTTCTGATGAATGCAATATTTTCATTTTACATATTTGTTTTATGATTGACTGAGACGTTCCTTGATTTTCGTTTACAGTTCAGCAAACAAGTGCCTTCTCAAAGTAGCGACCTACGCAGCTCAGCTGGAGCAGTACCCAAAAGCGATTGAGATCTATGAACAGGTGAAATAACGCCTACCAGCCTTTATCTAAAAATGTTATCAGTAGCTTTAGGGTGTGTAGTAACAGAACAAACAAATTATACTTTTGAAATTTAGGTCGGAACTCATGCAATGGACAGTACGCTCCTGAAATACAGTGCCAAGGATCACTTCTTCAAGGCAGCGCTCTGTCACTTCTGCGTAGACATGCTGAATGCAAAAGTAAGCCATAACGCAGAACTTGTCTATGTACACAATGTGAAACACTAGCCACTGTCCTAATATTTATCCCTTTGTCACCCAGCTTGCTGTGCAGAAGTACGAAGAAATGTTTCCCGCCTTTTCAGACTCTCGAGAATGCAAGCTGTTGAAGGTAGGCGTGCCCATTGCGCACATTATGTTAGTTGTATATGGTTTTGATACAGGTATTGGCCCAACATTAGTTACTCATAATGGGCTGCAAAACCAAAATACTCATACCAGCACACATATAATAAAGGTTTTATTAAAATGTTCTTGATGTCAATTTACCGACACTTTGATTTACAAAATATATTTTACAGAATTTAAGTAAACTAAACCTTACAACTACCTTCTGCTTCTTTGTGCTCTGGTCTCCAAACCAGGGACCGGAGTTGTAAATTAGTCATGACTAGAAATCTGTTTGCATGACATCTACTTTCTATATTTTAAAAAGCAATGTCCCATGTGTTTGTCCCTGTCAAATAAACAAGAAATGAATAAAAGTTGACCTTGCTTATGTGCTAGTAATCGGGAGGAAAAAAAGTTAAACTGTAATTAACTTCATGCAAAATGTTCCTCAACAAGATTTCGCCCTCCCCAGCATCACAACAAAATCACCAGTCAGCTAGGCTGTTATTAGTCCATGTAATAGACGACGTCGAAATAAAAATTTGTCGACGTGAATAGATCGTTGCATAGATGCCGTTTAAGGGAGAGAGCAATCTTCATATTAGGAAAATTTCTGGTTGTTTATTTCTAACGGCAATGCACTACAGGAAGCGCTCGGGGCAGTATCACTTCCACTTCCACCAACAATTCTGATTAGTGTAAGAACGTCATGCTTGTGTTTTTAAAAAACTGTGGAAGTAGTAATAAATTTTGATAAATTTTCGAGCATGCAGACATCGAGTATATAGCCTGTTGTTTTGGCATCTCAGTTGTGTCACAAATACTTTCACCCCCAGGTGTGTTCTTGTCTGTGGGCAGCCTAATTTAAAAGAAATGTGTTGTGGTTTTTTTAATCCAACCAGAAACTTCTAGATGCATATGAAGAACAGAATGTGGAAGCCTATACTGACTCGGTGAGTGGACAGTTTTCTTTCAGCAGAATAAAGACATGTAGCTACGGTTCTTGCTCTGAGTTATTTGAAGTTTCTGCAGCAGTATGTAGTGGTCTTCCTTATAAATCAGTTTAAATCAGAATGTGTCCGTTTGAACTGTCTCGCTCCTGAAAAATTAATATCTGTTTCTTGACAAAAACTCTTCATGTCATCTAGCGTTTTGTGTGTGTTTGAAAAACAAACATAGAATGTTTAAATGCATCACATTACTACTCATTTCTCAGGTGAAGGAATACGACACCATTTCACGGTTGGACCAATGGCTCACCACCATGCTTCTCCGCATCAAGAAAACCATACAGGACGATGAGAGTGACCTTCGCTGACTTCCTTCTGTGTTCGTCTTCAAGCCGACAACAACCGACTTGCGTCCTTGTTTTGCCTTGAGCCTCTCACTTCCATTCTAGCAGCGGTCTTTTGTTCTGACCATGAACCCTCATTTTCCTTCAAAGATGGAATGTTTCTTTCCTACCCTCTGCGGTATTATTTTCTTGCCTTTTTAATCCACAATGCTCCAAAAATTGTCTTTAGAGGATAAACACTATTTCCCTGAGTGCCCATTGCACACATTATGTTAGTTGTATATTGTTTAGATAAAGGTATTAGCCCAACATTAGTTATTCATAAATGGGCTGTAATACCAAAACACTCGTACCAGCACATTGATATAATAAAGATTTTATTAAAATGTTCTTGTTATAAAATGGATGAGAGGATGTCAATATACCAACACTTCGATTTACAAAATATATTTTCGAGAATTTAAATAAACTCAACTGACCAAAATGCCAATATATGTAAAAGCACACACAGGTTTTTGGTGCTTTTGTGAGTATTGTAGGTCATATCAGGGCACCTCTAATTAAACAGCACTTCATCTCGGCTGCAGAGCTCCTCTCCAAGCAGAGAGGCCAAGGGTTTCTGAGGTTAATCCACTGCAAATACCCACTCTGCCTTATACTGGGAAATTCTCAGGATGTGAACAGCTAGATTTGATGAAAAAATAATAATTAATCATACTTTTAGGAACTTTTTCAATTAATTTGCTAGTTGTTTGTTTTTTTTAAATTTCCATTGAAAGTGCTTTAATCCATAAAAGAAGGTGAAAGAAGCTCACCACCTTTGTGAACATTTGCATGGTTTGGTATGGCTGAGAGTAGTAGCGCAGCCGTTTCCCACTGTATAGGAGTTATTCCTGAAGTGTGTTTTTTTTGTTTTTTTTGTGATTGTCTGATTTGTGTTCTTTTTCTGTCATAACTAATCAGGCTGAAAAAAATGGCCTGCACGAAATGCAATACATTGAAGAAAAAGGAGCTTTACTGATCTGAACACTGTGCTCATGTGCCCTCCTAATGATGTTGTCAATAGACAATTGGTCTTAAATCATTTGTATATCAGTGATGTTTTCTGTCGAACATTTAAATAAACCTGTCGCAGACACACAGCATCCTGGACGAGGCCTGTACCCGCATGCTCCCCTGTGTGAAGTGATCACCTGATCACCTAATTCATGTACAGACCTGCACCTGATGTAACCATCTCGTTGCCCCACCCCTTTCCATTAAAACGAAATCCTGACGTTTTGTGCACGTGTTTCCCCGTTGTTAGGACCTGACTGCACCTGGATACTATTTTCGTTGGCCACTTCAAACATATCTTTCTGCATTTGCTCTGTCGGCGGTCATTTTGGGTTTAGTAAGTATTTTATAAAACTATTTATTAATTTATAAGCTGTCAGTGAAGGTTCTCAGTCATCCAGGTCATAGTTATCTAGGGAAGGTTAAAATCAAGGGCACCTTGAATTGGTTGAAGATACTAGAAGACGTTTCGTCCCTCATTCCTCTGGAGTTGTTTGCCAAGATGATCGATATGGTTCGTTAGTGCTCCTGGCTGTTGTAACAAGAAGCCTCAAGTGGCTCGACCATCATCCTGGAGCACACAGGAATCATATCGATCATCTTGGCAAACAACTCAACAGAGGTTAAACAGAGTTTCCGTACAAGTCAGTCAGAACTGAAAGTGTCTTGGAGGAGGGTTGAAACCTCTTCTAGTAGGTCTCAATGTAACTGTTTGCTTGTAAAGTCTAGTCAAGTTTATGCTTTTTAATTGAGTTGTCTGGCTATTTAAATCCTTAAAAACGTTTTAAAACCGATTTCCGCGGGAGCTCACGTGTCTAAGGCAGCGGATAACTTATAGGTGAGCTGTAATCTGTCAAACATTACAGTTAAGAATGAGATCAAGTCACTTCGAGGCAGAAAGAACCACTTTGTCAAAGTCACACTTTGGAGCCGCAATCACTTTCTGGCCAGTGCAAAAGTGCATTTCATGGTAGCCTATCTGCCTGTCATCGCTCCCACAGACTGCGTTAGATATAGTATGGCACAAAGAAGGTAAATAACGATAATTATAGTAGACATTACGATAATTACAAAATAGATTGCCTATTTACACTTTCCAAAATATAAATAATGAAATCAGACATGCCTACCAAACACAAAAAGCATCTAAAACAATAGTAGTCTACTGCGTGTAATCATGTCATGGCTGATAAAACTACAACCACTTCTTTGGCCACAGTTGTGATTATTTTATTAAAAGAAACGTTAAATTTTCACAAAGACATGCCTTTGCTATTATCACACAATATCTATTGCTGTAAATGGGAGATCCCCTTTTGGCAAGAGTGAAATAAAGGAGTGATTTCTCTCAATTGTTATTTGTAAAACCAGTTTGCTCCTAATTAAACACTAGAGACACTGTGTTCAATTGAATCCCAATAGAATAACCTGCTGACTAGTGCTTTTGTTGCAGGCCTATTTATGCTATACAGGCCTGATTAATGTTGCAAACAAGGCCGCCTTCAGATAATGAGATTAATTTGTTGTTTAGGCCATAGTGTGTTATATATAAAATCAAAATATTTTATAAATAAACTATTAAGATCTGAATAGAGAGTAGTGATCTAATCACATTTCAATTTGCTTTTGATTTAACATACCAACAGGAAAACAATGTAGGCTACAGTTTGTCTGTAGGAGCCCGATTTGTTTGGTTCTGTCTTGTTTTGTCAGGTCTTGTCAGTCTTTATTTTGTTTTTTATATGTACTGGAACTCTGAATAAACACAAAATATGAGAATATAAAAGTAAATGTATGCTAATTTATTTTAATATGTAAATTTCAAACTGAAAAATAACATTTTTGGTCAACAGGGTTTTATTTTTGAATAAAATGTGCTTCCATTATTTCAGCTCTTTAAGTGGTGTTTGACAAAATGACCGCAACATCCAGCAATATAACTCACAATTTACATTAAGTAGCTACTGTACTATATTGTTAATTTCCACTGAGGTTCAAGGATGTGAAGTTTGTGATGTGCTAATTTTCATTAAGGTGTACTGTCACTTCTTTCTGTTGGCAGGTACTTCCAGTGTGTCACCTACTGGCAGAGTCTGTGTGACCTAAAGACAATAACACACCAGGTCCCAGGACCATATCCCCCAAAATATGGTTAATTTGTAGGAACAACACACCACAGCTTTGTGTACTTACCTTGGGCCAATGAGACTTATTCAAACATTCGTTGCTATGGTTCTCCTCGTCACTTTATTTCTGATCTTCTTCTACTCAACCCTACACCTAGAGATAACCTACACTCAGAGGGCCAGAGCAGAGGACGGCCTGAAGAATCGCAGCCTCTGGTTCCACAACCCTGCTATGACAACACAACCCTCCAAGCAGGACATCTTCACCACGCCTCAACCAGATGTCCACAGTGTGTCTGTTTCTGATGGTTTCAAAAATACAATCACTCAGAATGACGCGTTCTGGAACCGTATGCTGTATTCAGGTCTCCTGAATCTGGACAAGGGAGGAAATCCTTTCAGACATGCCTCAAAGTGGTCTCGCTGCAGGGAGACAAATCTAGAGCTTCTGCAAACCAATGTGCACGACTTCTCCTCCTACCCTGTCTTAATCCGGGACTTTTTGCAAGGCATGAACTGCAGGTCCCCTCCAGTCCTGATCAATCAACCCAACAAGTGCATCTCCGCTGAAGAGGAGGGAGACAAGCAGACCTTCTTGCTTTTTGCCATCAAGTCAGTTCCTGGAAACTTTGAGCAGAGACAGGCGGTGCGGGAGACCTGGGCTCGAGAGGCAGTGAATCAGAGTAGACCAAAAGTGCGCACAGTGTTTCTCCTGGGTAGCTCCCCACAGGATGACCCTGACCTCAACTCACTGCTGTCGTTTGAAGCAAGACATTTTGGGGACCTCCTGCAGTGGGACTTCCATGAATCCTTCCTGAATCTGACACTCAAAATGAACGCGTTCCTCCAGTGGACACTGACAAACTGTCGTCATGTCTCCTTCATCTTTAGCGGGGATGATGATGTATTTGTCAACACACCAGGATTACTCAGCTACCTGCAGTCTCTGGAGCCTTCAAAATCCTCTCAGTTGTATGTTGGACATGTTATAGGCACAGCGAGTCCCCTCAGAGATCCTAAAAGCAAATACTACATTCCTCTGAGCTTCTATGACGGCCCATACCCTGCTTATGCTGGTGGAGGTGGTTTTCTTTTCTCTGGTGCATTGCTGCAACCCCTATATTCAGTTTCACATGTCATTCCTTTCTTCCCCATCGACGATGTCTACACTGGGATGTGTTTTATGGCTCTGGGAGTTTCTCCTGAGGCACACACAAGCTTTCAGACCTTTGACATCAAGGAGCAGGATCGCGAGAATCTGTGTGTATATAAACATCTTATTCTGACTCACAGGCGCTCTCCACACCAGCTAATAAAGCTGTGGAAGGGCATTCACAGCCCTTTATTGACTTGTTGAACAGGACTGGTGAGATAAAGATGATTGTGGGTTTTGTACTGTCCACTGTTGACATCTTGCAACGAATCTGAACTGTTGGCATAAAAAAAAAAAAAGGAAATGTGTAGTTAAGCAGCCTTTTAAGTTTTATCAGGACTTCTTTAGCTTTGCAAGGTTAAAAATGTACACCCATTTTTAACCTTGCAAAGCTAAAGATGCATTCAGCATTTTTGGTGGGTCCTGTGTGCATCAAGGGTAAAAATATTTTACAGCCAAGTTAATTTAAACCCCTTTTTTTTAGATTAACCCCTTCTCCCTCTGTTGTGCAATTTCTATTTTCCTACTGAACTTCAATAAAAACAATTCAACCAAGACAACAGAAAGTTCTACAGTTTATTTTCCACAACACCAAATGAAACATGAGCTAGAAAGGAGTACAGTTCTGGGATTTGGTGTGTAACAGCACTACAACATACAAACATAAATGTGTATATACTATACTAAAACCATCAAAATAGGTTCTTTAACACAAGTTAAATCAGTCACCCCAATGATACACAAGGAAACCTGTTAAATCCAATAATCACTGAAGAGGACAGTTACAACAGAGGGAACATACACAACAGGGGTAAACTTCCACCATTTATTGCTTGATTTGTGTGTTACGTCTGTAGGCATAATGTATTCAAACTGCACCAGCAGGTTTTTGCTGCACAAGAACATTGATGACCTTTAAATTACTGTGAAAAGAAGTGTGATTTTAAGCACGTACATAGGAGCTTCACTACTGACAGTAAATCTAAAAAAAAAAATCATAGGCCGTCATGTAATGTCTCAGTCTTGAGATGGGATGGTCCTGCTTATCCCAGTAGTTCACCTCATCCACCGAACAGTAAGCTGAGCTGTCGTCACTGGTGCTGTGGTGGCCAATTCTGAAGAATGAACAGAATTATTTTTCTTAAATGGGCTTGTGTGCACCAAATGTTCCTTGTCAAAAATCTTTGGTAGAATTGCAACTGATTTATAAACCCCGTCACCGCATCCACAACCTTTAAGTCACTCCTTAAAGTTTAAAATATTTTATATAATCTCAAGCTTTCCAAACATCTTACAAACAAGTCACTTTTGAATAATATTTGTAGGCTACAGGTCCTAATTTATGTAACTCCACTTTTCAGATAAGAGGACATTTTTAAAATGTCCTCTTATCCATTTTTATTCTCTTTAACATTGTAAATATTGTTTTTTTATTTATATTTATTTTCTATTAATTAGTAGAGGTCATGAATCAGCCTTTTAGGATTTTTTACTCTCCCTGCAATTTCCTTTCCATTGTTATCTTTTAATCTTAATTTGTGCATCACTACAGGCAGGATTGACAATTTAGTGTAGTAAGCAACTGCTGTAATGACCACAGACATAAAAACAAAACCTGTATTTAACTAGCACATCAGATGCACATTCTTTGTATGTTCTTTTTATTCTGTTTGTGTGTCCAGGTACATTGAACTTCTTCAATTCGTTGGTGAGGTTGTTCCTGCTTGTTTACTTTCCTGGCCACATGTGGCTGGGTGTGACATTGATGCAAGGATTGAAATGGCTTTCAAATGTTCTGTTCATTATTTTGTTGTGTTGTCTCTTTTTGATTTGTAAAATGGAAAAGAAAAAGACTTGTTTAAAGAGTAATATTCTTTTCTATTTGCTTATGATTGCTCGAATTAGTCATCTTTTGTCAGTTTGTTTGATTTGCCAGTGTGTACACAAAGTGCTGCACTACCAAAGTAAATTTATTTATTTAATCTAGCTCTGTATTGTAATTACCAAGCTCCCTGCAACTCCACTGATTTTACTAACTGCTACTAGCATAACACCCAAAGAAAACATCTCTGGTTCTGCTACATTTTGATCCTTTTTTTAAACTGTTCACCATGATTCCAATGATACTATGGGAGCGCAATACTAAACCAATGGACTATCGGTAATGAATGTGACTCTGTCTGTGCAGGAAAGACACCTGCCCAAGTGATATTAAAGGAAAAGGAAGTCATTTCGATCCTCCAGCGAGTCAACAAGTCAGGGGAAGGGTCCTTCTGGCAACTTTATATTCCAGATATTTCTCAACACTAAGTCCTTTGTAGCATTGTACACAGCAAACACATCATTACCATCTACACGGATGGACAGCATGCCATAACCTGGACCACGGGCAGCTGTATAATCAGAGAATGTGTGGTGCCAAAGTTATCCCCGACAGAAAGTGTTTCCCCTGCCAGCGGTGAAGGCGGACTTTGGACTTCATCAAAGCGAATGAATGTGGATTGTTTATTCTATCGTTTTAGTATTGTTTTATTACGGTACTGTATCAACATCACTGTAATCAGTTTAACACTTTGCTCGCCTCAACGTTACATCTCCTGGACTCGAAATGTACATTAAACTGAATGCAGCATTGTAGACAATATTTTGTCCTTGTAATCCATGTTTCCATTGCATGGCCTTTGGATATTGCTGGAAATTGCCCCCCTCCTTAAAGGGTAAATTATTATCATAACAACTTAATAATGCATTGCATTTAAACAGAACTTTTCATAGGCCTACACAAAAAGCGATAACAGTAGCCTATTGGTCCTACCAGGCTGGACATGCAGTCTGCCAAAATATGTTTCCCTCTCCATAATGCACAGATGATAGCCTACCATCAAGTATTTAATTATGTGTAGGCTATACTTCACATCATGACTAATAACAGGGGTGAATATGGAGAAGTTTCTATTTTCCCAGCAGTAGTTATAGTGGGATACAAATAATTTGGCAGGGGGATAACTACCTTGGCACGTCTCCTTGGCTGGCTGCTCCCTCTCCGAAATAACAGATTACAGCACGGTTCATGTTCCCTCTCTTGACTGCATATGCAGCTCCAGCCGCTGAAACACACATGCATGACTGGAGAGGTTAACACACAAGTAGGGATGAGCGGTTGATTCCAACCCTTGTTAGAGCTTAGAGGGATAAGAAGAAAGGATATAGTTGAAATATTTGGCAATGAAAATAAAATTTACATCTCATAATACTATGTAATAAAAGTAATAGGTTGATTTAATGAATATCACATCACAACTCATATGAAATGTTAATAACTATGACGTTAAAATGCATGAGCCTGAAGAAAAGTATTTAATGATAGCATGCAGGTTTCTTGGACTTTTATTGAACACATGTTATAGGTACTATACAAATAAACTAAAACAGCTAAAATCAGAAGTACCTTGAAGGGCTACTGTAAATTTTATGTGCCACCAATCGCCGTTCTGGCTGTGTTTGAAGCCTCGAAGCTTCACATCTTTTTTTGGTAGTGGAAAGTGAAAAGAAAGCATCGAAGCTTCACCCGCCTATTCACAACACACAGATGGACAGCTCACTGAGGAATCTGAGTGGCCAGATGGTGACAAAGTTCAGATCTCTGGAGCCATAGTGGACAGGCATCTGACGGCCCTTTCCGAGGTCATCAGCGTTGGCGTAACACTGAGCCATGAACAAATCCAGAGGAAAACCACGATACATCAGCACTCCTGCAGGGCCGCATAGGAATTATAACGCTGTCACACACAACACAAGAAAACCTGGGCAACTGATGGACATTTTCTTCCCTTGGACTGATTTCCCAAAGATACAATAAAACAAGCAACAACAGTAGTGCTGTGTGGTAAATGAACGGTGAAAAAAGGATTTCTGAATGGTTGAGTATTTGAAACTAGTTCTAAAATGAAACTGCTATTGAAATCACCACTTAACATACTACATTGCTGGAACAATAGATTATTATACAATACCTGCAAATGAAATGTGATCTGAACAATGTGAATGTAAAGGCTGACTTTCTGGTTTATCTGAATGACACTGAGGAACTGAATGACTAATGCAGTTTGACATGGGTGTATTGCAAACATGTCATGTAATTAACTGACTGAATTAAGCACTGGTTACATCAAATACCATCATTCACATATTGTGCTCCAAAGCGAGCACACTTTTTAAACAGCCTAACGAGCTTGGAGCAGAGCTTTGGCATTATGGCATTATATCCTTACAAGTACATAATATCAACACTACACTACTTCTACCACATAATATCACTACTAACAAGCCAATTGTCATGTCACCTCCAACCGAAATGAGATATAAAAATAAATGTTAAGGTAAGTAAACTGCTGCCAGAACTTTAAAAAAGTAACCCTACATCCAAAAAGGGATCTATGTCTGTCTACAACCACATCTGTCTGATCCTTACCAGCTTCTCTGTATTGACCAAACACCAGGTCGTTTGAGTCCAGAGCAGCAGCACTACCAATGTGTGTCCCCTCCTCGCCATAGTTGGTCATGTAGAAGGAAATCCGGCCCTGCAACAGAAACTTCTCAGTCCCCCATTTACACTCTTTAGCTGTTCAATGGTTAAACCTGGAAATGCACGAGGAAAAATGTACCTGTCTCTGTGACTCATAAAGAATGCGGTCCATTGTGTTCAGCAGAGTCATCTTCTGATAGAAGTTCAAAACTGTCTCTTTGGAGAGCTGAGCAGCAAACAAACACACTGACAAATTATCACTGGCCCAACAAAGTGTTTCAGAAGTGGATTTTATAGTGCCACTTTTAATAGCCACAGGTGTAGGCAGGCTAACTGTACCTGGGGGTCTTGAGAGGGGTTGATGATATTGCCCTGCCTGTCCATCACCCGATACACTGGGATCCCAGAGATGACATTGGGCTGGATGAACTCAAGCTGATCCACAAACTCGGCTGATGCTCCAGGGAACTGTGGCTTCTCCAGTGATGAGTCAAAGGGCTGCTGCTGCTGCATGGCCTGTCAGATTGAAAACAAGCATTATTTATTAACAAACTTCACTGTGGCAAAGAAAGGCCTGCCCACAACGGGACATTCATCTTATTCTTAATAATGACATCCAAAGAAAAAACCCTGGAGCTGCTCAGCTGAGACAGAAGGGGAAACTGACAAGTCCTTTATCTGATGCAATTAGAAGCTCATTATAAATTTTCCCCAGTGCTGTCTCTGTGCTAAATCCTCAAATAAACTATTGCTATGTAGAAAGTCACACAATTGTTTGGCGACTGCTTTCTCAAGGATTTTGGAGAGAAAGGAGCTTTTTAATAAGAGGTTAAATTACAGCTACTTCTAGGTACCTCCAAGAGGCAGGTTGATAGTTTAGATGAAGAAATCTTTAAGTTAGTTGGTAAAGATGGAGGTTTTACAGCTGTTTCTAACATTCCTGAGTTTAGAGATAAGTCGGTGACAGTAGAGGACAGGACCTAGTGAATTTTGTCTCTAATAATTATGATTTTATCATTAAAGAAGCTCATGAAGTCCTTACTACTGAGGGCTGTAGGAATACATGGCTCAATATGTGGCCTGCCCCTGCTGCTGGAAAAATCCTTTGACAAAACAGTGATAGGAGTTCTGTGTTACACTGAGATATAGTAATGAATAAAAAGCTGATGGAATCACTTCCTTAAATTTAACTACTGCGCTATCACAGTCTACAGAGTAAAATCTGCACACCCAAATTAACCCTGTCAGAGTTATAACATTTTGAAGGCGTGAATATAGCTCTTCCATAGTCTTGGAAGACAAAGTTTAAAAAATGTAACAGAATGAACTGATTAAGCAAACTTGATATTTACAGCGTCACCTTGATATCAGTGTCATTATATGTAGTCTCCCTGATTACAAGGTGAAATGTTCAATCCACCTGTTTCGTGTTTCCAAAGGTTTAAATTTAAGTTGCACAAACACTTTTAAGCAGAGGGGGCAGTGCTTAGCACTGTAGCCATCCTGTACGCAATTCTTTTGATAACTTTTGATCAGCGACTTTCATAGATGATCCCGCCAAAGTTTCAGGTCGATTGGGGAAACCGTCTGGGACGAGTTTGCAAAAATAGGTTTTAGAGAAAAGAGATAAGAATTCATATAATTTGACATTTTTAGAGCAGAACACCATTGGAGCAAAGATGCAGATGAATCCAGAGATTAAAATAATGAAGAAGAATGAAGACTGACTCTAAATTAAGCCGTTTTCGAGATAATTGCAAAAACACAAAGTTAATAGTTATAGCGCCACCATGAGGTCAATAAGGGCCTTTTTTCTTTTTGCCTGAGTAGTGGATTGAATTTGCAACCTATGTGGCAAATTTTGGTGAGTTTTCGTCCAGCTGTTTTTTCTGCCCAAACACTTTAGCCCAAATGGATTCCTCTTACCATCTTGATGTGTGTTACCCAGAAAATGCTAAACCTTTACCTACAATTCAAATGAACTCTATTTAACTCCCTCCCACTCACTCACACATGGACACACCGTCATATGTTTCTTGTGTCTACCCACCACAGATTCAGACCAGATGTGGTTACACAGCTGTGTAAGGCAACAGGCTGATCACAGATATCATCCCTCACTGAGGGTGGACTGGGACAGATGAATCCATTCTTTGGCATTCATGCAAGTTGATTACAGAGGTGAGCACGGAAAATTATCTTTCAAGCAAGTCCAAATTTCTTCAATTTATTTCTCTGTCAAATTCAGTCAGTCTTACATCCACTTAAACGATGACCATCTTTTATTTTTCTTTGGACTGAATTTGACACTTTTATTTGTAGTGTGATCAACCACATGGTACCACAATTTTTTCAGCTTTATTTAATTGCGGGAAATTTAAAGGTGTCTTAAAGACACTAAACAAGTTAATCAGTTCATATTGGTCTGTAGCGTCACATTTAGTTTTTAGATTGACAACCGCACATAACCAAGTCTGGTTTCAATGACATCTGGCGTTATTTTTTGCACAAATCTCGGTGTGGATTGCTCCTTACAAAGAATGAGATGGACCTGGTCCACATGCAGCATTACTCCTGGGTTTGGAAGCAGTATATGTTGCAGGGCTTTCTCCAGGGAATGGCTAGCTCAAATAGTGGCATCAGCAGGTAGAAGTGGTACTTTGTGTGGCAGCCTGAGATGCCACAGACTTACTGGGGCACTTGCTGCTGTTTATAGCAACAGCCACTGAGCCTCCACAGTAACTACTGCCGACCTGCTGCTGTTTGTGGCAACTACCATCACTACAGAGGAGAGTTTTTGAAACACTCAGTAGTATTATTCACTAGCTCACCAGATGCATGTTGACATTGACAGACCTGAATGGATGGATGCAGGTTGACATGCATAGTAAAACCAAAGCAGTACCAATGGAAAGTTAGTCTTTTGCAGTAAAATAAAGTTTATAAAATAAATAGTGAATATAAATTGACAGTGAAATCAACATTAAAAACAGTGTCAAATTAAAACCATTAAGTGATTATATTTTTGAAAATGTATAGAAACTTACTTACTAACTTACTAAGAATCCAAATCAGAAACAGCTTTATTGCCAACAAGGTTTTACACATCTAAGGAATTTTCTTTTGTATCTTGGTGCATAACAAAAATGGTAGTATGCAGAAAACAAGTACTGAAGGTCAAGAATCATAAATATAAAACTGACAATAAGATATAAAGGGAATATTAAAGGATATGTACTAACAGCAAAGTATAATTTGTGCAGGGATGTCAGGTATACTATGGACTATGATTTTTTTTTAATAAAGGTTAAAAGTCTTTGTCCGTTATGTTTAAACCCAGTGATTTAAATCCTCAAATGATGAATTGTCTTCAGATCAAAAGGGATTATATTAAAGACTTTCCAAAAATGCAGAAGCAACAAGTCTCTGGATTCTAAGTCTCTAAGAAACATGTTGAAAAAAAGTGTTTACACATAAATAAGATTGGCATAGTGATGCATGGTGTAGAAAACACGAGGGAACTTTTTTATTTCTTAAAAATGTGTTTATTTTTGCCTCGTTATACAAAGTGCCTTTCAACCACAAGGTGGCAGCATTTATCAAATTATCTCCACTGTCGTCCTGCAGTCCTGCAGCTCTGTGTGTGTTACTAGCTGGACAGAAAGTAACATGATGGCTGAAAAGGTAATCTATAATTCTGATATAGTACGGTATATAAATATTTGTTTTCACATAAATCAACATTGTATGACCGTTGTTTGTATTTGACTTGTTTTACCCAAGTAATTATTAAAAATAGATTAATAATATAAAAAAGAGAATTTGTAAAGACTTTTCATTTCATTTTATCTTCTTTTACACGCATCTACAAGAAATTGGTTTAAGAAAGTACAGCTTTATACTTAAAATGTTTTTCCTGTCATATCCAGTACAAAGACCAGTGACGGTTCTAGACCTATTTTATTGAGGGGGCCAGGCTGGGGCCAGTTGTTTTGTCAGAGGGGCACATTCAATCCGGGACAAAAGAGATAAAGGCAATGTTCAAGCTTATCTTGTTTAGTATATAATGTAATGTTTTAGTATGTTTCTGTAACTTACAGTTATTTGTTTCAGGTTTTGGTCCTGATGGGCCGCAGCCTCCTGCCAGAGGGGGGAGTCTGAAACAGTTTGTGTCCGGGATGGGAGGGGTCAGCTGCAATCTTTCCTGCAGGCCTCAGAGTCCTGGAGGCCAACCAATCACCTTCTCTGCAGAGCGAATGATACGCTGCAGCCTGCCCTTGTCCCTGGCAGTGGCAGCAGCGTACCAGATGGTGATGGAGGAGGAGAGGATGGACTTGATGATGGCGGTGTAGAAGTGAACCATCGTCGCCTTTGGCAGGCTGAACTTCTTCAGCTGCTGCAGGAAGTACATCCTCTGCTGGGCCTTCTTGGTGAGGGAGGTTATGTTCAGCTCCCACTTGAGGTCCTGGGAGACGATGGTGCCCAGGAAGCGGAAGGAGTCCACAGTGGCGACTGTGGAGTCACCCAGGATGATGGGGAAGGGTGTGGCTGGGCTCTTACTAAAATCTACAATCATCTCCACAGTCAGTTTGTTGTGGCTGCACCAGGTCACCAGATGGTCCATCTCCCACCTGTAGGGCGGACTCATCCCCACCTTAGATGAGCCCACTGAGGGTGGTGTCATCCGCAAATTTCTCCTTGTGTAACGGCTCGTCTCCATGATCTTGAGACTTTGCTGGGAGACACAGAGCAAACCCTCTTGCAACAGCACAAATAGATGTAGTACTTATTGACGCTACAAACAAACTGGTACCAAATTCAGGCTTGGCTCTTGGACTAGTTAGTGGGATTCTTTGTCTCCATTTTGTATAAGACTTATTGGCTGGTGTCTCCCTGATGAAAAGATGGTTAATGTGGAGGATTTTGCACAATGTCTCAGTGTAGGATTGTTTGATAAGTGAAATAAAGACCAGGTACTGAGAATAGCAAAGTATTATGAAGTAGGCCTAATGAAGTAAGGAGGTCATATTGACAACTTGCTTAGGACAGCTTGAAGTGTTGCCAGCATTAGCAATCTGTGGTTTAAAAGGTGGTGTGCTGGCCACTCAGGATGCTGCCGCTGGTCCTCTGAAATCATGCTGCTGCAGTATCAGCAAGATAAAGAGAATGGGGAACTAGCACTTGCTCACGAGGAGCGGCTCCGTGCTCGAGAACAAGCCCTGCAGATTGGGAGAAGACATGCAGCAGCTGAAAAAAATTCAAACAAATTTTGCAGGGCGAGGCAGTTCGAGAAAGATCCAACCAAACAGTATTTAATCTTTGAAAAACATTTAGTTTTTTCCTTGACAGTAGCATTCCAAGGTCACAGTGTGATTGGGGACGTGATCAGTGCATTTATTTAATTTCCTCTTAGAACAAAAATGTGTGTAACTGCAAAAGCATAATGCTTTGACAATGCAAGCGATTCCATTTGTATGTACTATGGAACTGGGACACTGGTCTCCCCCCCTGTAGGAGGAAGATCTGCCATTTTCAAAGATCAAGTTTGCACTTCCTGTATTTTATAGCTGTTCCATGTTTTCCTGCTCTATATTTGTTACATGTTCACAAACGGTCCAGCAACACCCACCAACCCTTAAAGTAAGTGGAGCTCAGTCCTAGACAACATATTAAGTATTTATGTGTTCATGGTTTAAATATTTTAAATAACACCAGAATTTATTTATTAAAATAAGTTGTTTCTCAAGGATTGCTTTTCATTTTCCTATTTTTTTTTTCTGTGTACCATCTGTCTGCTGTCTTACGAGGCACTTTCTGGAGGTGTTTGAAAACTCCTGGTGTAACCAGTTTACATCACTACTTCAAACAACAAAATAGTGCATAAAAATGTTAAAACAGTTGTTGAGGTGTAAAGTTGGATACATTTATTAAAAAAATTATTTTGGAAATTTATAAAAAGTAAAAAACTAAAAAAAAAATCTACACACAGTTTACTGAACAGAAACATGAAAATAAAGCAATACAGCAATTACCATATAAATAAACATGTGACATTAAATCAAATATATACACTTTATTTACACAAATATTATTTCTACTTAAAATAACAAACATGATAAAAACATTCTGCAATTTAAAAATCACTCTAATAAAATATGATAAAAGCAACTACCATCTAATAAAACATGTGGCATTCATTCAAATATAAACAGTTTATTTACACCAATACTATTTCTACTTAAAATAACAAACTTGATGAAAACATTCTGAAATTTAAAAATCACTCTAATAAAATATGATAAAAGCAACTGCCATCTAATCAAACATGTGGCATTCATTCAAATATAAACAGTTTATTTACACAAATACTATTTCTACTTAAAATAACAAACTTGATGAAAACATTCTGAAATTTAAAAATCACTCTAATAAAATATGATAAAAGCAACTACCATCTAATAAAACATGTGGCATTCATTCAAATATAAACAGTTTATTTACACAAATACTATTTCTACTTAAAATAACAAACTTGATGAAAACATTCTGAAATTTAAAAATCACTCTAATAAAATATGATAAAAGCAACTGCCATCTAATAAAACATGTGGCATTTAATCAAATCTATAAATTACTCCTTAAAACAAGTAAATCTTCATGACTATGAGGGTCCCTCTGCGTTGACGTGGGTGGAGCTGGGTCTGTCGCTCTCCCCAGGAGACGGTTAGCGCCATGCAATTCTTCCTCCTTTGGGAGAAGACAGCAGTCAGTAGGTTTGTTGTGAGATATAGAAATATTCTTCTTCCATTGGTACGACGATGTCAAAGTCAGAAATCAGAGCTTTGTTTATTAGTAGTTTGTATTTATTATTATTTTGTTCTTGTCATGTTCCCTCCCACAGCACAGTCCTTCTGTTCTAACCAAAGAATGGATGTATGTACTGCAAACGTACCTCTTTGGTGTCCTCCAGCGCTTGCATGATCGATGCGACCACCAGGTTCACCAGCACAAACTGGGCCATAACCACGAAACTGATGAGGTACAACGGTGAGACCCAGGAAAGGTATCTCAAACAGTCATGCTCACCAGGATGACATTCTCTTAGTGTGTCCTTGAGGGACACAAAGCAAGATTCAGAAAGGAAGAGGGACTGGCACACAGACTGAAGGCAACATTACAAAATCATTCTTACTTAGAAACCACAGTATTTATAATAAACTGACAATCGGAAACTAAACGGTAGAGCAAAAGTTAGGATACAACATTATTGTAATGCTTTATTTTATGGGTCTGTAATTTACTAACTATTCCCCAAACGATTCCCTGAGAAGTTTAGTTGAAAGAAATGCTCAATTTTAATCAAATGTAATTATTAATTTTTCATATATGTACTTCATATGTTAAATTGTTTGCTCCCTGTAGAAAAATTGTTTGGCTGACTTAATGTCCACTGACTAAACACTTCCTATGTTACACTAGCACCTAAGTGAAATAAATTAATTGGAAGTTGCCAACACTGTGCCAACATCTTCCCTATAATTAGAACCAAACTTTATTTACAGAACATTTCCCAGAAAATTATTAAGAAATCACAGACCCATAAAATAGCAAAGTTTCTTTAATGAGGAAATGGGGACTTGATGTCCCATGAATATCTCTTGCTCATCAACTGACCTCACTAAATAAAAACTCTAACTACTGAAAAACATCTCACTTTTTAAAACAACCCCCGCAAGTCGTCCTATCAAATCACTCAGTCACTTTGGAGTGATCCCATTGGCTGGTAGGTGTGGATTAACTTTAAATAACCTTTGATGAAGGTGTTTGTTTGTAGTTCCAAATTAAACCACCGGTATTGAACTTGATGATGATATTTTTTATTTGATTACATGTGGCATTTTGTTGGCCATAAGTGGGATAATTCCCTTCAAAGTTAAACATTCAATGCTTGTGACTGTTTGGTACTCTCCCTTACATAACTAGGTTTGAACATCACTGCTTTCTGAGTGGTTAGGGGATACAATGCTGTATGTATAGAACTTGTGTGTATTCATGAGGGAGTGAGTACATACTTTCAAAATCACGTTCCAGTTGTCTCCGGTGCATAGGCCGTACAGCGTGATCAGGGCCACCCCAAAATGTCTGAAGTTGACTTCATCTTGTAAACCCAGGCACGGGTGGTCATCATTGCATGCTGATAAACACAGAGGCACACAGCACAGCATTGGTATTTACTAGGCTGCCTCCTGAGGCTGACTCTCCTTGAGGATTAGCTAAAGGGTTTCTGGATTTCCTTGTCAACTATGTGGATACTGGGCAAATCTGGGATCAGCTCTGGAACCATGATCCTTTGCAGTAACCCCGTGTGAAGGTGTGTTCTGCTAGTAGTGTAACTTACCTAGCTTGCCATAGAGCTCCACTCCCACCGCAGCGTAGATGTAAAAGAAGAATGTGAAGAGCAGACAAATATTTCCAACCTGGAATCAAAATCAGCGTTAGATCTCCTGCACAACAAACACTAAGATGTAGATACTCTAAATTCTCAACCAGGGGCTGGAGCCTTTTTGTACCTCAACTAAAAGGAACTACTTTATTTGAGACAGGCTATGATTACAAACTTCCTCCATCTGTTGAGCTTAAAAGGACTGGATACCTTTAATTGATCAGTGATCACTTGCTGTACAGCCAACTTGTTTTATGAAGGCCAAAAATTTGGCCCTATCTGATGTGATTAGTTTTTATTAACATGCAAATGTTAAAATAAAACTGACTGGCGTGCACAGCACGGTCGCAGGGTTTCTAGTGTGTAGACACGGGATAATATGATACCCAGAGATACCTCAGGGACAGAATCTTCATACTGTAACATGGGTAAACATTACATAAACGTAAATCAAGCACAAATGCAGCAAGAGCTCTGTAAAACCAAATCATTTATATCGATTTATTTAGACAAAAGAATAAATAAATCCCTCAGTGTCTGTGTTTACCTGTGAAAGAGTCTTTATGATGGTTTTTAGCAGAACTCGTAGCTTTTTGAGCTTCAGGACTGAAGAGAGACACAAGAGTTGTCACAGATAACGTATTTATATTTGTCACCCAAAGGTACCTTTAGAACTTCAGAAGATTTTACTTTGAGTGTGTGTATAGTACCTCGTACTAGTCTGAATATTCTACAAACTCTCAGGATGCTGGGATTAATGGGAACTATGTCTGTCATATTGATCTGGTGCAAAACGATGCTGACGATGGAAACCACGAGTACAGCAACGTCCAGCAGATTCCATCTAAACACAAACGTCATTAAACACTTCAGGTGCTTACACACAAATGCAAATAAAGGAAACTAATTTCTTGCTCATTCTACTGTGTCACCTGATTTTTATGAACCTCCATATGCCAAACGCCACGAGCTTCAGCAGGACTTCAGTGATCATGATGAAGGTGACCACATAGAAGGAATACTCTGTAATCTTCCCTATATACTGAGCAGACACACAAAGGTTTATTTTATCGCCTCACAGAGTCAGTGCAAATCCAAATACATTTTTTGTGGCAGTTCGGATCTTGCAACTCCTGCAGACAGTGAATGTGTGTGTGCATTACCGGAGGTTGATTGTAATGTTGGACAGCCATTATCACAACACTGATGACAATGATGACAGTCATGAAGAGGTCCAAGAAGCTGCTGCTACACAGAGAATGAATAGCTCGACGTATGTAGGAGTAGTGTGCGTAATATGGAATCTGTGCAGGCTCTGGAACACACACACACACAAAGATGCATTCAGATGTACACACAGAAAAAGAAATATGTAAAAAACACTAAAAACATTTAGAGCTACTCTAATCAATATTATTATTACACCAACAATGGATCACATGGGTACTTGCATGCAAAAGGAGTCACTCAAAGTGATGAAAACAAAGAGGATTATCACACCATTCTGCAGTTCATCTCAGGTCTACAGAGCATTTCAACGCTGGTTTTATGGTCCCCACTTTACTGTTTTGGTTCACTATCATCATCTCATCAATGTTACATCCAGCTGCGGCAGGCAGCTGTTTTTACCTCTGTTAAACCCACTGGTCGAAACCAGTCCGAATACATGCATCTCCCTGGCCAATATGATCAGCCACTGTTTGCATGACCTAACCAGTCATTCTCATTTGTTTGTTAGACTCTGAAAGGCAATGCTCAGAAAAATAGACCGCCAACAAGCCCCTTCATTCTCCTTACTGTTGCACTGGACTTTTCCTCCCTCTTCTAGTAACTCTCCATCAGTTCTTTTATGATTCTGCTGACACTGGTGGAAGGTCTCCACCATTACACCAATAAACATGTCGAGCAGAAGGAAGCTTATAATCATGAAGGAGATAAAGTAGAGCAGCATCCATTCGTTGTGATTCCTCACAGGCTGAGAGGAGAAGAGTAGAGAGGAGACATCAAGGGCGCATTTATTACACTGCTGTCTATAGAAGGTTGTCAAAACAACTTTTGTATAAATAACAGTGTAAACACATCAATAAGTTACTTTGCCAGCAGAAATACCTGTTGGTCCACTCCCACAGCATCCAGCCCATCATACATGATGTTCACCCAGCCATCTTTAGAGAACATTACAAACAAGCTCATCAGAGCCTGAATGGGAAACAGAGAAATAACTGGTAAGTCAACACTTTGTTGCCCAGGTCCTACCATTTCTTTCTCCAGTAAAGACCTTCATTACAGTTAGATGAATATGGTGCTTTTGTTTAACCAACTTAAAAAGAAAACAGACAGCACTCAGTGAGTACATACATCATCCAGTGTAATTATCTGACTGTGTTACTGTAGAGAGTAAGAGATCCTTTGGAAATCCTAGTTTCAAATCTCCATCATAATTTACATAACGATAGATCATGTGATCATGCTGATTGGCTGAACATGATTTTTATGACAAAATCTAAAACCTGCCCTGTGTACTCGGTGGGTTAGTCTGTACCTGAAGCAGGTTGTCGAAGTTGTACTTCCTTCGTACCCAGAGATAGTTGGCCGCCAGGCATTCAATCTTGGTGGTGATGTTTCTTATGTCCTCGCCCACACAGTAGTAGAACTTCCCTCTGAACAACTACAGTGTTTGTGTGAGATAAAGACAGACAGAGAGTGTCTGTAGTGTTATTTTATCACTGTCCTGATATCATCTCAGCTGCATCAAAGCTAATAGGTGTTTACTATGAGTGCTTGACTAAAAACTGACCAGGGATCACGTTGTTCCTTTTTATAGCTTGACTGTCTGTCAGGGTAAAAGAAACTATGTGGTTGTGTGTGTGTGTGTGTGTCAACTTACCTGCACCCCAAGGATACCATAGAAGAAGAAGAAGGCACAGCAAATGAGAAGGATGTTCCTGATGGGTTTAACCGAGGCCATTAGAGCATCAACAGCCAGCTTCAGTTTCGGAGCTCGCTTGATCACCCTGGAACACACAAACATAAATAAACACATGTTTGTAAGAGGCAGCACATGCAACTACAGACACAAACACGATATTAAATATGAAATAACATGGGATGCTTACACACAGACAGGAAATGAAGATGTTAACTGGTATCAACACAAACAAACAGAAAACAAACATCAAATATACACAGAAATGAATGATGTACCTCAGTGGGCGAAGTGTGCGTATTAGGCGTAACACTTTGAGGATGGCCAGCATGTGATCGTCAGCTGTACTGACCAGAATGATGATGAAGTGGGCTAAAGACAGAATCGCCAAGAAACCATCCACCATATTCCAGGAAGACCGGAAGTAGCTCTGCTTTCCAATTATCAAACCAAAAGCTAGAACCTGGTATTAAAGCAACAATACACCGATTTAAAATTAAAACAATATAGATTCCTCAAAACACTGAAAATCAGCTGAAAATCTGAGCTACAAAAATAGATTTTAAGGTAAAAAAAACATCATTTCTACAGTTAAAAAACAAAACTAATGCTTACCTTAACAAGCATCTCTACCAGGAAGATAGCAGAGAATAGATCACTAGAGAAATCCAGCAACCATCGCTCCTAAAGGGCAGAATGAGATTCATTTTTAACCTGTGCGTATTTTGTATTACATCTGATCAAACTACTATTACATATCAGTTGTTTTATTAATAAATACATCATGTCCAGCTTGATTGGATAGGTGTGTGTGTGTGTGTGTGTCCAAATACTCCGTGAGGGTTCACTGTATATCCCTGTCTGCAGTAACAGTTGTAGGTTACATGCAGTATATGTGTGTCTCACCATGCTTTTAGGGTCTATGCCAGGCATCTCAAAAGTAATGGTGACACAGTTCAGGAGAATGAAGAGCAGAATTATGCGGTCGAACATCTTGTGAGAGATCACACGATGGCAACAGATACGGAACCTACAGTCAGTGAAACAAAGGATTACTTTTAATACCCGTTTCATCATCTTACTGGTCAGTGTATGAAAGCATGATGGAAAAGCACATTATGTGTAGAATTTACATATTTATTAGTATATCATATTTTGTCTTTAGTTCCCAGCAGTATATAACATTAATTCCTAATGATATAAATAATCACGGTAACGCATAATGGACCCTGATACCTGGCAGAAAATGAATAGATGGATTAAAGCTGCAGTAGGTCGGTAACTAGATTTTGAAAGCATCCAACCAAAAAAATGCCACCCCCTCCTTTCAGGCCTCCCTTTAAAGCCACTCCAGGGCAGAGTGCACGCAGGTAGATCAGCCAACCAATCATTTCATTTGGGCCGAATGAAACACTAAGATTGCCAAATGACACCAGGATTTAAGAGAATGACAGTGAAATTAGTTGTTGTTTTGGTGTGTGTGAGAATCACCTGTTCTCTGGAGACAACACGTAGAACGACCACTCTTCATGCTCTTTGCACCAGCGGCGCACTTTCTGGATAAGGTTCAAAGATCTCTGCAGGGGTGAAAAATCAGTCACCTCTCTTTATTCAAAACATGAAAAACAATATTCTGAAGAATACAGCAACACTGAAGAGGTGTGGTACACTAGCAAAATGTTGCTAAGAATAGAGGCAAAGTGAAAATTTGTTAAATCCCAAAGCAGCTTTGATCGCACCACCTATTCACATTGTTGTAAATCTTGTTAAATCTTCACCAAGAGTTAACTCTCAGTTGAGTCGCAAACCAGACTTTGAAAACTTTCACTCTTAGGAACTTACATTGTCCCCATCAGAATCTACAGGTGCAGAGTCTTCCTTGGGGGCTGAGTTAATCACAGTGGATCTGCTGGGCCCAGGGTGAGAGAAAGAGCAGTCTTGGTCGGGGGCTGAGGGGTCCTGGAACAACATGAAACAGAGATGAGCAAAGGTAAGTGTAAGAAAGTTAGTCAACATAAGCACTAGCTCAAAAACCACAGTCTGAATTATATGACTCATAGGAACTTACATTTTTCTTGTTTTCTGTCTGTGAAGGTGACAAGTTGTTTGGAGGGGAGCTGGTGGCTTGATCAGAACTTGAGGAGCGCTGGAACAACAGGAAATAAAGATGGCCATGTTGTTTTTCAGTCAAGTTTTAAAAAATCAAGCTCTTGGAGAAAACTAAGAAAGAAGGCCTTACCTTGGCCTGGAAGTTCTCAACCACTATGCCCACAAGAACATTGAGAAAAACATGTTTTCCAAAGATATTGACCGCAATAAAGTAGAGAGCGGCCCATGGGGAGGTAGCAGCCATGGCTTTGTATAGAACCAGATTCCAGTCCTCCAGAGTCAGAAGCTGGATTGATATATTTAATAGAAGAGAGTAACAGAGACAGAGATTGAGGCACAACTTGCATGATGATGCAGTAAAATGAGGAGGGCACAAATTGTGAAGTCAAAAACTAACCTGGAACACTGTGACCATGGACCAGCTCAGGGTGTCAAAGTTTTTTCGGTCAGGGATGATGACTCCGTCTGGTGTCTTGAACTTCAGTTTACAACCAAACAGCTGCATACCCAGTACACTGCAAAGAAACGAGAACATCCAGTCAGAATCTTTGAAATGTCTGCATCCTATGGGTGATCATCATTTTAGTAATAGACAAGCATTTGGGTTTTCCTGAAGCATTACAATATTGTAGGTCTACAATAGATTTTTGTGTATGCATAGTGTACTTGCCTAAAAACGAAAATGACAAACAACAGTAGCCCACAGAGTGGGGCTGCCCCTTTCATGGTACTAGTCAGCACTTGCAGCTGTTTCTTCAGGTAAGGGAAGAAGTGAACCAACTTCACAAACCGCAGCAGGCGAAATGCCCGCAGAACTGACAACCTGCCATCAGTTTTAACAATTAGCTCCCACAAACTGAAAAAAACCCACAAACAGACACATTTTAATACGCTGTTGGCAACTTCTGTCTGATTTAATATGCTATATCTTGAGATTATAGGTAATATTGTGATAATACTATTTAAATCCAGCCTGTTGCTAATACTAGTTACTAATGCTGAAATACATTGTATTCCAAGCACTGAAGTCTGACATTGCTGAGTCAGTGTCATCCACTTCCAATATGATAGACACAAGGGATTTAGCTTAATACTGCAGCAGGTTTTTGTGTGCCATGGTCAAAAACACAAAATGGTTGGCTCTATGGAGAGTCCAACACTAAACTATGAAGTATGGATATAATGAAAATTTCAATAATGGCACATATTACAAGTCAAAGCAATAAGCGGAGGTCAAAAGTCAGACTGCATGGGAATATATTACCTGACGATAACGATGACAAAGTCAAAGACGTTGTGTCGGTCTGTAAAGTATTTCCACGTGAGAGCCAGCAGCTTTAAGACAGCCTCCACAGCAAATATAATGGTGAAGATGAGGTTACTGATCTGTAACACACGGATCATCTCCTCAGGCTGTAGGAAGAGAAGATGGAAAAAAACAAAACAAGAGGAAGACAAACAGGACAGAGAGATCCAGATGGAGAGAGGGGACAAAAGAAAGCAAAATAACGTGAGAATGCAAAGAGGATGGGGAGGGTGATAAGACAAGCAATTAATACAAAATAAGCAAGAAATAATATTTACGTAAAGGAAGAAGAGGAAAATTAAGTAGTTTCTATCTCATTCTAGTATTCCTGTTGGGGTTCCTAATGTTGTAAGATCAGGATAGAATTTACAAAGTATCTCTCTTCGTCCCCAGCATGACAAAATACTTAAATCCAAATGCAGGTTTCTTTTACTTGGGTGGTACACCTGAAGAATTTCCTGAATTACAGGAAACGGCTGAGGCAACTCTCAGCCAGAGCCATTTTAGCTTTGAACCTTTCAGCTGCTCAGGTCTATCATTCACTTTGCACACCTGAAACGTATAGAAGTCTCAAGTAGACAGATTCAGTAGTAAGCAGACAAAAACACTTTGCTCCTCACCTCCCCGTGGTGCTCTATGACCATGGTAAGTATACAGAGGGAAACAGTAAACATGATCACTCGGTCAAAGAGTTTACTGTTGACGGTCCTCTCAGCTGTTTTCTTGATGGGTATCCAGGCCTGAGCCTGAAAGATAGGGGAGTCAGTGAAGTGACCTCGTCGTTATTGAGGCAACAATGCTGCTGCAGAAAGGTGCTGACTACACTCACCAATAAGGACCTTTTCAAGTTGCCTGCCCTGCTTTTTGGGTGCACCTTGTTACGATGTCTGTTGGTAAAAGGACAAGACATAACAATAACTGAAAATAGAGGGTGTTCTTTGCCCGACTTAAGTTTTTTTTCCCCCTGATAGTGTGTGTTGCGTGTTTGTTTGCTTCTGAATGCATTAGTTCATTTGTGTCTGTAATGCAAACTAAATGATTAAGAACATAAGACATTGTACCAAAATGCTCCAGACACAAAGACACAGTGAGACCCGAAGAAGCAAGCACGCTGAACAAGAGTAATATCCAAAATTAATTTAAACCTTTTCCGGAAACAATTTTTTTGACATAATCTTACATGGTTATACACACATTCCACTGCAGACTACAAATCTGACCACAAACACAACAAAATGTTTTAAGTGCTACTTTCAAAAAGTACATTTACACTTTCTGACCTGTTGCATCTACTGGAGATCCTCCGCAGCCAGCAGGTTAACTTGTCACAGAGCATAGTGATGAACACAGCGTCAGCACGAGGCTGTCCTTTCTTCCTTTCCATACTCAAAGAGAACTGGGTGGCGATGACGACTGCGCACACGTTCATCAAGATAAAGGAGCCCATCTGGTTGGGGAAGTAAAGAGTGGCTATTTAGAGCAAAACCCTTCTTCATAGAAATTGCACCAGCAACATTAGCACATTTAGGATTACTGCCTTCAATTTAATTTAGCCCCAACCGGGAAAAGGTAACCCACACAACACTGCAAAGACTTTAGTTGTTCATTAAACAGGACTGCAGTTCAAGTGTTAACAATAACTCTATTTGACGAGCTTTAAAATCACAATTTTGCTGACTGTGTAAATGATATTTCAATGAATGTATATTTCAATTATTGCTTCTCATCCTGAAACTAAATGGCCCAAGTCAAGTTGATAAGTTTAGAGCATTCAGAACATTTTTAATATAATGGCATATTTAACTGGATCTTCTGACTTAACTCCCATCTGCTGTTGAGCTTAGCATAAAACTCGTACTAATGTACAGTTACCAGATGGCTTTCTCTCCTCCAAAAAAGCCAAGTTATTTAAAGAAAAACTGTAGCAGGCCAGCATTACAGTGAAAATGTGGGATTCACTTGGTCAATGCTTATTAAATGCTGCAGGGGTTTGGTTTGGTCCTTCGTCTGGTTAAAACAAGACCATATTTTAGACGAAAAGTCAAATCTCAGTGTATTTTGCTGCTGCTGTTGAATTTGCATAGATGTCAGTGAAGTTATTTAACCATCTTTACAGACCAAATTGATCAGTCTGGAAGAATACCAAAACATAATTTTGAGGTAGTGTTTTGAGAAGAGGAGGGTCAAATAATAAGGTTGTTAACTAAGTGGGTACTTACAATGGTGACGAGTATGAAAAATATGAAACTCCAGAAGGAATAACAATCCATAACATAAAACATGATCTCCATCCATCCTTCCATCGTGACAACCTGGGGAAGAGAAGACAGAGAGGGACGCAAATAAAATATTACTATGTGGCTACATTTTAACAACACTTTAATCAGCTCTCTCCAGCCAGAGGAAAGCTAGACTTTGCTATGACTCTATGATGCTAAATGATATAGACCGGTGGTAGAGGATGACAGACAGATCGTCAGTCCCACACCATCCTACAAAACCCACGAGAACCATAAAGTTCATGTCTGACAAGTGCACAGAATTCTGACTGCTCTCCATGTTTTTTCTTCAGCATGTCCACATCCAAATGTATTTCTGCACATATCAAAGCCCCTCTTACCTGGAATATAGCTAACCAGGCATAGGCGATGTGATCAAAGTTGACGGCTCCCAAGTGAGGGTTGTGGTCCCCAGCGCGACAGACATTGTAGTACAAGTTCCAGTTCACACAGGCGTTGGCACTGGCCCCAGCCCCCGTAGGGACTAACTCATTCAGAGATGAAACATGGTGGGGTGCAGCCAATGAGCAGGTTTTCCCATCCTTTTTGTAAGCTGGAACATCATGGCAGTGTAACATCCCATGCTTGTCAGCAGGCGAACAGATAAATGGGAAATATTCATCGTTCTTGGACTTGTAGTATGGACTCAAGGACACGTTGTACATTCTGTATAGAAAAAGAATGGTAACAGCTTATACACACGAGAATTGCTGTAATATAGGTTTTTTTAGTTTTGACATGACAGGGTGTTTGCAAAAGTACCAAACATTCGCTGGTTATAGTGAGGATTTGCTGTTGCTTATCACATTACATATTAAATTGTAAATAACAGCAATATATTGAGGCCATTTGTGCAACGTCTACTCCAGAGAAGCAATTTCCTTACGCAGGAATGTCTTCACCCAGGAAGCAGCGGTTGAGCAGCTGCCCCGCCCACAGCTCAACTCCCACAACAGAGAAGATGTGGATGACAAAGAGGTAGAGGAGGAGAAAATTTGTAAGCATCGGCACAGTGTTCAAGAGGACTGACACCATGTCTCGCATGCCTGCACCAAAACACAAAAAGATCCGGTCACAATTTATTTTTACTAATACTTCACGTCAAACACACACACACACACACACACACACACACACGTACGTATGCAGACATGGGCATTTGCTGCCCTGTCTATCCTGTGCTCTTGCAGGAGAAAAGTCCTTTTGAATCCACATGCATTTGGCTCTGACTCTGGTTTGTTCCAATTTCAGAAATTGTGTAGGGCCTACTGTTTTTGTTAAATATAGTACATTATAGTACACAGCATGCAGTAGTTCTTAAATTCCATTTTGCACATGGCTAATTACCAGATTGAATCTGAATTACTGTCCAATCTCAAACGTAACAAAGATCAGAAGGTGAAGTGGAAAGAAGCAGACTGCTTTGGGAGGTTCATCACAGCTGAGCCACAGTGAAATCTGGAAATCTTTCACTAATATAATTATCCACAAGATTAACATGACAACATACAAAGATGGTCAACGGTACATTTAAATGCATCTTGTCACAAAATACAAAATACCCCTCAAATAAATGTAGAAAGAAAAAATACTTACCTTTAGCATTTTATAAAATGCAGAAAAATACATTGTAGTATTTGAAAATACAAAATTAATCCCCTTTAAAGAAGCCATTTGATGATCATTTTCAAGTTCATACTTTTATTTGGGGGGGGTCTTACTTGAATAGGTTTACATGCTTTACTGTTCACCCTCTCTCCGTTCTGTTTTAGCTCCCTAAAAATCCCAGTCTGCTCTGATTGGTCAGCTGGCCCACTCTGTTGTGATTGGTCAACTGCTCCGTAGGTGTGTTGGGGAGAGTCTAGCTTGTTTCCGACAGGACTCATTAAAGTTTTGACTTACTTGATACTCTGCCGATCAGTTGTATTGGCCTGAGTGCCTGACAGATTGGTATGCGGATCCCAAAAGTAGCCAGAATAAACTCCAACATCCTGAAGGGACAGTTGCAGACAGAAACAGGGAGATGAGTCTTATTTTTCATAATATGTATTACACACATTCCAATACTGAATATAAAAACATTAGAGGAATTTTGAGGAATGCCTTTTCTAAAATATAGACAGTCCCGCTTAAAACCAAGAAATTAAATATGATGCTTTCCTAAGGTAACCAAGGAAACGCATAGTGACTTGTCCGTGTGAGCCACAGGCATTGTGGGATACTAACTTTGCCAAGTTGATGAAGAAGTCAAACTTGTTCCAGTTGTTGCTAAAGTAACTTCCTTCATAGCCAAAGACTCCCAGGGCCACCATCTTGATGAGCATTTCCACCATGGAGAAAGCAAAAGTTAAATCCTCCAATACCTGGCCAAACAAGATAAAAGAAAAAATGTACCATTAAACATACAGCAGAAACAACAATGGTGACAAAGTACTATTGTTACTAATAGAGAAGCACATTTTGATTATCTTTAGCCTTTTATGTTAATAATTTAGCTGGTCTCACACACAGTAAATGTACATTCCACTGCCAGTGTCCACTAATAACAGTGCAGGGGTCACACTGACCTCTAGGATGATGTTCGTCTCTTCACAGGGCTTGTACATGCCCAGAGTCACACAGTTAAGCAGGACTATCAGTATGTACACATTATCCAACCACGTGGAGGAAGAGGTTAAGGTCATAACACAATATAATATGATATAATTCATCAACAAAGGAGGATTACATACTAGAAGAACCTAAGGGGATTAATAAAGTTTTTATCTGTCAGTCAGACAGGTGAGAAAGAGACGCCTGTGAATCCTTTAGATACAACAGCAAATATTTTAATGGTATATATAGTAAAGCTTGAAATTTCTTTGTATTATTATTACTACTCATACATTTCTGGTGGGCGGCCCTATACGCAGGATAAGCAGTTGACGATGGATACATTTTTGGCATTTTTAGACTCCTAGCAGTAAAAAAGGATATGGTCTCTGGGTCATTTGCAGACACCAGTTACGGGGTCTTGTTGTTTGTTTCAAGCAGTGCCAAACCACAGGGGCTAAGTGGTGGTAGGGCCGCTCCTCCTCCTTGGAGACAGAGTTTGAGTTGGGAAATTGTTCTGGGACAGTGAGCGCCACCTCCTCCGGCTCCTCCTTCTGACCCTCAGAATCAGTCATGATAAAGTTCAAGTACGCTTTCTCTGGAGGGAGGTCAAAAATAAAGTGTTAGAAAGAGGTGAAGAGAGGAAGGGGTAAAACAGGGGAAAGCAGGCATGCGACAGAGGAACATGAAGGGAGAGACATTACAATACATTTACTCACGCTTTTATCCAAAGCGACTTACATTTGAGGAACAGCATACAAGCATCAACACAGCACAAAATCAACTACAACTGACAATACATACTAGTAAGGGCAGCAATAAATACTAGTAAGCGCTAATAGCACATATGGCATCAATGGAGTAAATACCTAGGGAAGGAAGTAAGAGTTAACAAAATAGTGCAATCAATAAAAGAATTGTCATGGGGATAGAAGAGGAAGGGCACAGGAAGTGCATGATAGAGGTTAGGGGTTAGAGGTGTTACAAGAGAAAGTGTTCTCGGAAGAGATGAGTTTTCAAGAGCGTGTTGAATTTTGAGAGGGACGCCCCTGCTCTGATGGCATGTGGTAGCTTGTTCCACCTTCATGGTGTCACAGATAAGAACAGCCGGGATGGCTGAGAGACAGACAAAAGCCACAAATAAAACAACATATTTAAAAGGATCTGGGACATTGTTCCTGTAAAGACATACTGTTGTTTGGTTTCTGAAGTGTAATTTTTCAGTGCTATGGGCACCACAAACAAATTTCCATTCACCTCTATTATAACAAGTAATATTGGCTAAAAGCTTCAGCGCAAAAACACAAGTTGCCTGAATGATCTTTACTTGAGTTAAAGTAATACTACACTACAAAATACTTCATTACAAGAAAACAATCCTGAGTTAAGCCTAAAGTATCAAAACTAAAACTTCTCATTATGCATACTTCAACAGTACACTTGTGGCGGTGATGTTTCTTTACCCGTTTCTCTATGCATTTTCTTCTTTAGACGCTCAAAATTGCGGCAAGTGAATCACAGTTACTCAAAACAGGTAAGGTTAACGTTACAATGATTTAATAACTTGAAGTTACTGTAAGCTAACATTAGCTCCTTAGCTGCTACAAGGTAACTTAGCCTTTGATAGTTCTGTTACCTGATAGACATGAATAGCAGACACAAAAATAAGAAACTCGGCCCAAATGTTTAACGACTGATGAAAGTTTGTTCAGGTAAAATTAACCAGTGAGTTAGCTAAATGGAAAAGTTGAAGTAACGTTAGCATCAGGTGGCTAAGTGTTAGCTAGCGGTTTAAAGCATAACTTTTAGCTGCTTTAGAAAGTTGGATAAACAAAACAATAAACAGCCGTATTCAGTTCAAACGTTACAGGCTATTAATTAAAACAAGGAGATCAATGACTTTTGGATAATCTTCATCACAGTTAATGTCGATCCACCCCAACCACCATCAACTGTAACATTATCAGACTTTATTTTTTATTCCACACCTTTAACGTTAGCTGTTTTAAATCATGTACGTTAGCTAATATGTTTAAATATGTTGTAAACTTTGATCGCTTCAATCTCATCTGTAACCTGCTAGATTCTGTGATGCTAACTTTAGAGGATTAGCTAGTGTTAACTAACTGAAAAACACCAAAGAGTCGACTAACGTTACAGATGCTGAGTGCCCCAACGTCAACTTACAGACGGACTGTGAGTTAGTTAACACATAGCAACACTATCAAAATGCCTTCTCTGTAACTACGGGCTCGATTTTGCGTCCTGACAGCTAAAGTTATCAAAATGTGTTTAGGTAGAATCTTAAGTAAAGGTAAGGTTAGCTATAACATTAAGTTACTTGACATTAGTTATTATTTAAACCACTTGGTATCACCTTTCAGAAAGTATTACCTTTCCTAGGTAGCTAACATTAACAGGGAAGACGTGCGAAGCTCAAGAGTTTTTGCAGAGTAAACACTAAAATGATCAATTATCAACAGTTTCAGCCCTCACATTCTAGAAGTCGCGAGGGAAATTAAACAATATTTGTTTATTTGTTAGGCTCCCAAAATTTAAAAACATACTAAACATTACAATCCACAAACATCGACACATTTAAAAATATACTAAGTTGAACATTACAGTACACACAACGTATTTAAAAACATACTAAGTTGAACATTACAGTCCACACAACGTATTTAAAACATACTAAACATTACAGTCCACACAACATATTTAAAACATACTAAACATTACAGTCCACACAACATATTTAAAAATATACTAAACATTACAGTCCACACAACATATTTAAAAACATACTAAACATTACAGTCCACACAACATATTTAAAACATACTAAACATTACAGTCCACACAAATGGTATACAACACATATAACTTATTAGAGAATAATTAATAGGAGTAAAACTAACATTTAGTTTGTGTGTATGAGTATATTAGCAGCAAAAACTACAAATCCCCATATGCACAGCATCCTACTATGTGATGTTTCAATGTGTTTCCTTATTTGCCCTTTAAACATTGATTTCTGTGTTAATTTAGTAAAGAATTCAATGTTTTCTTTGCACTTTATCCTACTGTGCGTTTAAGGGAAATAGTGTTTGCCTTGCGACTGTCTGGTGGCAAATGAATATGACTCTAAATTGTGTTTTAATTGAATGTACTAACATGATGAAATGATCATGAATAGAATGAAGCTAACTTTGGCAACCTGATATGGATGCAGCGTTTTTTGTTGCATAACTTAGAAGAAGTCTGTTGTAAAGGTAACATTAGCTATAACATTAAGTTACTTAACGTTAGTTATTATTAAATCACCTTCTTTAACCTAACATCAGGACATGATAATCAATGTAATGTTAATCTCTCAAGTAGCATTTAGAGGAAAAAAACAGCGATTAATTACATGGAAATCACAAACTGAGCAAAAGCACTTACCAGACGATAAAGACGAAAACTTGGCTGCGGTCACACTGTTGTCCACTTGGTATCACCTTTCAGAAAGTCTAAGTATTACCTTTCCTAGGTAGCTAACATTAACAGGGAAGACGTGCGAAGCTCAAGAGTTTTTGCAGAGTAAACACTAAAATGATCAATTATCAACAGTTTCAGCCCTCACATTCTAGAAGTCACGAGGGAAATTAAACAATATTTGTTTATTTGTTAGGCTCCCAAAATTTAAAAACATACTAAACATTACAGTCCACAAACATCGACACATTTAAAAATATACTAAGTTAAACATTACAGTCCACACAACGTATTTAAAAACATACTAAGTTGAACATTACAGTCCACACAACGTATTTAAAAACATACTAAGTTGAACATTACAGTCCACACAACATATTTAAAAACATACTAAACATTACAGTCCACACAACATATTTAAAAACATACTAAACATTACAGTCCACACAACATATTTAAAACATACTAAACATTACAGTCCACACAAATGGTATGCAACACATATAACTTATTAGAGAATAATTAATAGGAGTAAAACTAACATTTAGTTTGTGTGTATGAGTATATTAGCAGCAAAAACTACAAATCCCCATATGCACAGCATCCTACTATGTGATGTTTCAATGTTTTTCCTTATTTGCCCTTTAAACATTGATTTCTGTGTTAATTTAGTAAAGAATTCAATGTTTTCTTTGCACTTTATACTACTGTGCGTTTAAGGAAAATAGTGTTTGCCTTGCGACTGTCTGGTGGCAAATGAATATGACTCTAAATTGTGTTTTAATTGAATGTACTAACATGATGAAATGATCATGAATAGAATGAAGCTAACTTAGGCAACCTGATATGGATGCAGCGTTTTTTGTTGCATAACTTAGAAGAAGTCTGTTGTAAAGGTAACATTAGCTATAACATTAAGTTACTTAACGTTAGTTATTATTAAATCACCTTCTTTAACCTAACATCAGGACATGATAATAAATGTAATGTTAACCTCTCAAGTAGCATTTAGAGGAAAAAAACAGCGATTAATTACATGGAAATCACAAACTGAGCAAAAGCACTTACCAGACGAAAAAGACGAAAACTTGGCTGCGGTCAAACTGTTGTCCACTTGGTATCACCTTTCAGAAAGTATTACCTTTCCTAGGTAGCTAACATTAACAGGGAAGACGTGCGAAGCTCAAGAGTTTTTGCAGAGTAAACACTAAAATGATCAATTATCAACAGTTTCAGCCCTCACATTCTAGAAGTCGCGAGGGAAATTAAACAATATTTGTTTATTTGTTAGGCTCCCAAAATTTAAAAACATACTAAACATTACAATCCACAAACATCAACACATTTAAAAATATACTAAGTTAAACATTACAGTCCACACAACTTATTTAAAAACATACTAAACATTACAGTCCACACAACATATTTAAAAACATACTAAGTTGAACATTACAGTCCACACAACGTATTTAAAAACATACTAAATTGAACATTACAGTCCACACAACATATTTAAAAACATACTAAACATTACAGTCCACACAACATATTTAAAAACATACTAAGTTGAACATTACAGTCCACACAACGTATTTAAAAACATACTAAATTGAACATTACAGTCCACACAACATATTTAAAAACATACTAAACATTACAGTCCACA